GGGTGAATGTCTGTTAGTGTAAAGCGCTTTGGGGTCCGGAGGGACTTGAAAAGCGCTCTATAAGTTCAGTACCATTTACCATTTCAAATTTGAACTATATCAACACAATTGCAACTTCAAACTTTACAATAGAATCATTTATAAAATGTTCCCTTCATGTGTTTTATCTGTATTTCTTACAAACTGCTATTTAAAAGTCATGAAATCATGTTTTTAACACATAAAAACATAAATCGAACAAATCTCCAGAACTTTTTAGACCTTTTCAGTCTCTCTTGACTAAATGTCCTGATGCATCTCAGTAATCCAGGTAAAAAATCAAAAAGAGAAAAAAATTGTGTAGGTCCTCTGGACGGGTTCTTCTCTAATGAAACGTTTCATTAGAGAAGAACCCGTCCAGAGGACCTACACAATTTTTTTCTCTCTTGACTAAATTCCATCGACTGAAATGTTCAAAAGAAGAAAAAAATGTATTTGAGAGGGGGAAGTAAAAAAAACAAAAACAAACRAATATAATATAATAATTAGACATTTGGCAGGTAAAAAGTGCAGCCAACAAAACCAAATCCAACATTCACTGAACAGCTGTTTTTTACTAAATGGTTTTGCTGTGCAGATGTTGGTGCAAAGAATCAGGCAGATGGTAAATTAGTTTAAAAAGAGCCAACATCCTTTTTGAAACCCAAAAGTGGGTCAAAAGAGAAGATCCTGAACAATAAGCAGGTGTGTTCAGTATGAGGCCCTGTGTCCATCAGACCACCCTGACGTCCTGCAGGTGTTTGATGCTGGAGGAGACTGCCCCCTGCTGGAGGACCACAGTCTTCACAACAGAACACCATAAAAACAATAACACTTTTGTAGCATAAAACAAGAGATTCCTGTAAATTATTTGCCTTTTTTACCTCAATTTGTCAATTTAAAACCTAAAACAAAGCCTCATAAAAACTTCTTGTAGAACCAAAGAATTAATCCCTGTTTAAAAACGTGTTTATTGTAGTTGTTGCGTTGTGTTCAGCTCCCTTTAAAAGGGTAAAACAACCAGCACAAGTCCAGAGGTAGAAAGCATCAGTTTGAAAATTTGGAACTGACATCTACACACACACTCCCTCGTCATGACACAGACACACACACACACACGCGATCAAGTTAACACAAAGCAATATGCCGTTTTTTGCAAGTCTTCATATCAACAACAATACTGTCCACTCACGGTACCCCTCAGTTACACATCAGTAACAAAATTATACATGCTGATAGAATTCAACCCCTCCTGTGCGTAAACAAGTATTAAATTATACGCTGCATGTCGGAGCTCAAAGGAGATGCAAGAACATTTCTTTAACACTTGAGATCAACTGTAACGGCTGATTAGTTGATTATTGTAGGACATGTAGCCCCGGGCTTAAAGAACTACAAATATGGCCGAATATAGCAGCCGTGTGAACTGTTGAGACTGAGAAGAGAGGGATTAAATAAACCGTGTGTTATGGTTGGTAAATGTAACAAGGAACATGTTAATAGTATAAACTGTCTTTTGAAAACGTATTTCAGTAAAAGGGAAAGGAGCAAACAAGCAGTTCAGGTTATTTGACCCAGGACAGGTGCAGGCAGTGGGCGATGAAGGCGTAGGTGTCCGCCACCTCCTGGATGACCTTGCTGGTGGGTTTGCCGGCTCCGTGGCCGGACTTTGTGTCCACTAGGATGAAGAGGGGGTTCGTCTGCTTGGGGCTGCGGCCTACGATGTGCTGCAGGGTGGCGATGTACTTCAGAGAGTGGAGAGGCACTACCCGGTCGTCGTGGTCCCCCGTCAGCAGCAGCACCGCCGGGTACTGCACCCCGTTGCTCTCTGGGACGCGGATGTTGTGCAGCGGGGAGTATCTGCGCGGTAAGTAAATAAAACTTTAGTTAAAGTTGGAATAAAAGACTTTCGACACTAATAACCAAGAGATAAAGCTCTCAGATGTGACAAATAATGAACGCTCCAGTGATTTCTCAAACTATTTTAACCAAGGTACTATTAAACCCCGACCTGATCATCAAAACAGGCTGATCAATAATTCAATATCAGGGTTCCCACAGGTCCTTGAAATCCTTGAAAGTTTGTGAATTTGAAAAAATTTCAAGGCCTTGGAAAGTTTGTGAAAACAGCCAAAAATTACAGTTGTCCTTGAAAGTCCTTGAATGTTTTTGGAGATTAAAATTCTCTATTCACACGACTGATTTTCATCATCTTAAAAAATAAAATTAAATTTAAAAAAAATGTAGATTTGTTGCAGTGGATAACTCAGGATTACTGTAAACTGACGTCATTGTTTCTGACTCAACTTCTATGTTCAGATTTACATTGAATTCACGATATTAAACCTGTTTATTGGTAACATCCTGCAGTAGCAGGAGGTAATTGCCATGGCGCCTGGTTCTTTAATTTGAGGAAATTGGTACTGGAAAGTCCTTGAATGTGATGTTGACCAAGGTGTGGTAACCCTGAATATATATCTTTATAGACACGATCAATATCAATGAAAAAAATGTCAGATCAAGGTCACCAGTTTGGCAGGAGTAAACAACCTTTTTTCTCCTTGTCTTTATTTACAATTGGGGACAAAAAAATTAATAATTATCAATATCCACAGATATTAAACACTTTCATCATGATACATTTTCAGCCATATTGCCCAGCTCTAGCTTATCCTTTTAGGAATATGTTTTTACTTTAATTGTTTTGGTGAAATAAGTTATTGATAATAGGGCTGCGCGGTAGATGTTAGAAATGGTATGAAGTTGGCCTACGGTAGAAATTTACCCTCTAACGTCATATCGCCAGTTACGTCATCACGCTGCACGTCGAGCAGAGCGAAGCTTTAACAAYCGTAGTTTTTTCCATACCCAGTTGTCCGAGAAAAACCTTATTTATGTTTTGTTACCCACAGAGATGATAAAAAAAGACACGACGTTCAGTCCTAAATCCATCTTGCTAATGTAACAGTTCTGCTCTGATGATGAAGATGAGAGCGCAGCAGAGCAGCACAGGGTCAGTTCAACAGGCAGAAGCTCATAGTATGGCAGGCAGATGTTACATTTATTTAGCTTCACCACACTTATATTCTAGTTATCTGAAATTGTTTTATGACTAGGATTATGTGCACACTTAAGCCTCTTAAGGTCCTGTCACACTATAATATTTTAGGCAATATTTAATTTTTTTGTCTAAATAACTAATTTTACTTGAAGTACTGGTTGTAATATCCACTTTATTTTGATATTGTTGAAAATTTGAGAAATGTTTTTGTTGTTGAAACCGTTTTACAATACATATAAAACATTCTTTTGTACTTCTGTTATGTTCATTTTCACTACAGCAAAAATACTGGGTTTGATTATAATTAGTTTTCTGCAAAAAAAGCTCAAAAAATTACAATATCTTTGCTTTTTATGATAATTTTCTACCGCGATATATACTGTTACTGTGAAGGGATTCAATTTATACTGTGTAGCGGAACCCCCCTATTAAAAAACATTAAATATGATCTTTAATGAGAGTTTCCCTTCCTGGCTCAGAATGGAACTGTTGGAGCAAAATGAGTCAATCACACAAACACAAGAAACAAAGTCTTTCAGGTTTATTTTGGCCATTTAAAGTTAACTGACTTTTATTAAAACAGATTAATACGTGATTAATATTTGTAGTTACATACCATGAACAATGCAAACGGGCTCTTACTAAAAACGTTATTGTTTCTAATTTTTAAGCAATTGT